TACAGCGTGTGAGAGATGAGGTGACACCTACATCAATATTGCTCGACGAACTCCGTCGGCCCAGGGTGCTCTTATGTTGTATTGGACTTCGTACTACTGTACGAGAATTGCAGCGTAGTGTTACCAACAAATCCAGGAGCTGATCTCAAGGGCTACGAAGAAAGAGATGAGATGACACAGAATGATATAAAATGCTTGAAAATACAATACCAAATGCAAATACAAGTAGGGATGCATGCAATGAAGTCTCACTAGAGCTGTCTTTGTCCGGTTGGGGTGTAAGCAGAACAAACGCTACCATGGAGAATTTATTAACAAGCTGAGCAATATGAGGCTAATAACACTGATAACGTTGTAGTATATTTTAAAAAGAAAGTAAGAACACCGTGGAACAGTGATGACTTGTCGTTGGTGTGTGTTGTAAATGCCGTCTTTTATATTAACTGCAAGCTATTCCGGTCAGAAGGTACGCCAGAACCGGTCCGATTGTCTCTTGTCCGAGCGATATGCGAGAATTCACTTGTATGTGGAACCATCAGGCAGTCAAGCGTGTGTGGCTGTTTATGGTCATCTTGATCATCCATTCTCTGCGCAGGCACATATCGACCATTTCATCAGTGCCTTGAGTGTAACCTGTGCCCAAGCATTTCGATTCGGATGTCACATCGTGTTGCCGCTGTCCGTGAATCAATATTGATGACTCATCGGAATCTTAGTGGCCATTACAGAGGCACTTGACCTGGCTACGTAGACATCAGATTGCAACCCGCAGTACTACACGACGCCACACGAAACGAAATGTCATATGATCCATCTGTCAAACGGGAACGTAAGGAGACACGAACAGATGTTAGCGGTACTTGTAATTTGGGCTGGCCCCATTTCGACATCGAACCAGCAGTTAATGGTGTTACGCGAGTGAAAATGCCATCAGTCTGTCAGGCTAATGTGTGGCGCTTACAAGTGTTTCTAAATGGTTTCCACTTAGTCATTTAACATGAGATATCAGTTGACATGCCAAATCTTCCTGGTTCGAGTTGCAGTACTGCAATGTTGCGTACGGACATTTGTTCATACTTGTGTATGGACTACCACAAATTGGATGGAGAAACAATAACCCGCATGAACCATAACACTACGTAGGTGCATGCGTTTGGATTGAATGAAAGGATTACAGGCATATTCCTCTAGTTTTGGAAAATCGTACATACCATTATAAGTAACCAATACGACTGTCGGTGGTTAGTTAGCGTTTAGATGTGAACCTAAATGGCAGCGTTACATTTAGTCAGAAGTGTGGGCATCAACAATAGATAGTGACAGACATAGAAATACGGAAACAAATGCCAGCAATACGGTTACCAAGTAGAATGATGCACAAATAAATGTACCGTAAACACTGATAATTTATGGTTTCTGTGTGTTGTAGCTGCTGCCTGATATATGGGTTAGTAGGCTATAATATCATACATTTTCTCATGTCCTCTGTCACGCTATCACATCACCAACATATCTAGTGAATTCCACTGCTCCCTGTTCTACCCATCGGCTTTCGAAAGTGTGCACTGTTTTAGCAAATTTACAAGAAGCACCTTGCACAACATTTAATTATCTAATATCTCAAATGAGTATGTCGTGGGACACCTGGGCATCATGGTATTTTCACAGTGGAGTTTGGAATGGAACCACTTAAACATGGCTTGAGAAAACAGTGAACGATTAAATCCCAGAACGACCGGATCTTTGCAAGGCACAGAAAGAAGGCAAATCACCTCAATTGCTGCACGATCACAGTACAGCGTACTGCGCGGAATTGGCTCGCCTCTTTAAATGCATTCAACAACCGTACGGGATTGGTTATCTTCACACCGCATCGAATGGTGGGTATAGTGTGTCTCCGGGCCAATGGGGAATGAAGGGAATACACGGTGGATGACAACCAGTGACTGGAGAATATCTCAAATGGGTATGTGGTGGGACACCTGGGCATGTTACACAGTATGGGCACGATGGTATCTAACAGCGGGGTTTGGAATGGAACCACTTAGATATGGCTAGATAAACAATGAACGAGCAACTCTCCATACCCATTGTGTGATTCGCAATGAAAACGTTGCACATTACACAGTTAATCGCATAGGGTTAGACAAATAATGGGTATCAAAAGCCTCGGCAGATGGCGCAGATAAGGTGGTTAGCTGAACGTATGATATTCCCATGCAGCCTGCGTTTCTCATCATAATTTTGTCGCTTACAATTTGCTAACAATCTGTCATCATACATCTTGGTTGTAGCTAGTCTTCGCAACGAATCAATTGTTTCTTGCAGGGATTTATCTTCCAATTAAATATTTATTTAAACACTGCTGTATCACCACAGTTGGACTAACCTACTTTTAAGTCAATCTAGATGGTTGGCCATTTGTAATTCAAATTGGAGCAGGCACATTTCCTCTTCCACACCTTATCTCGATAATAGCTGACTTTTCCTAACTTCATTATAAGCAATGTACAGCAGGAAATATAGCTGCACTCATTTTCGTGACTAATATATGGAACAGAACATGTAGTATAAACCTCAGCATATTAATCGTTATTCACTTACTTGCCGGGATTATTCAGCTTACACGGATGAGGCAACGTGTGGACACTTGCAACAAAGGTTGTTGGGCCTTGAACACCTAGTTTTCAAACTGCATTCCAAAGCGAGGAAGCGTTGCAGAGTACTTGGGCTCCAGGGATAATTGTTGATCACTGCACCCAATTGTTCAATCGAATGCACGAACGAATGTGGAATATTGTAAGCAGCAAGCGATTGGCAGCCAGGAGTTAACGCTGCCCATTCACGACCGCGTCATCACTACAGCTGGCTTTTAAGATGAGAATGCTTGAGGATAGGCGGCCAATCTAAGGTATTCATTAGTGTTTCTTTGTATCCGTCACACACACACACACGCTAGCGTTTGTGGCCTTTCAACTGGGTATACCGAGGATGGTTAATTGCAGGGCCTGTGTTGTTGACATTCAAAATGAGCAGCACTCACATAGGCGTTTGAAAACAATTCGAGGTCACTCGTAGTACGAGTGGCAGTCTGGTCGAACACTAGGTCCGCTTGGATTATAAAGTTCCGATGAGTGAGCCTGCAAAGCACTGTCATACTACACGAACGAACGTGTTCCCATGCTTTTGATCTCCGGTCACTGCGTGGATACTGGCACCTAGGGATGGAGACTTCTAGAGCGCATGGTAATCTGCATTCATGCGTCTGGTTATGGAGGCTGTAGTCCGTCTGAGTCATTAACAACTGCAGAATGTCCCTTCATGGACCGTAATAATGCAAACATGTATGACTTCGGTTTGGAGATGGGAATAACAGCCAAAGTTTTCATGCTATGAGCGGCTGCGCGTTCAATAGTAAAGCGTGCAATAAATAAAGCCTTACTGAAAATGTCGAACAACACCTGGTTCAGCGCTGGCGTCGTTTTGGGTCCACGCAACTAGGCATAAATTAATTCGTTCCATCCGTCCGTCACGACGCACAAAACACTGAGTTGGAGCGTCCTAGTAATTCTGTAGTATTCCCGGCCATTGAGAGCTCCACAGGCATAACACAGCTGGGCCAACAATAAGTCGCTATTAGGCATACGAACGAGACCGTAGTAGCATGTGCGGCGGAGAGAGAGTACTGGACAATTCAAAGTAAACGAAATCGACATCGTATATATATATATATATATATATATATATATATATATATATATATATATATATATATATATATATATATATATATATTCGAGGACATTTGTGCTACGTCATCACTGTTATTATTCGTTGATATCCTTGATCTGGCTGCGCTTAGTGCGAGTGTTGCCAAGGTGTTTATCTGTTGAAAAACCGCCGCCTCGATTTTACCAACCTCAGACAGTTTGTCGTTGCTGGGGGAGACGGGGTACACAGTCTTCTTGACAGTGCTAGACTCCTAGGTTGATTCCATCCATCGTGGAATGGGCTACGACTCAGCCATTACCATGCATGTATGTTTTTTTCTTTTCCGTATGAATGAAGTACAGGTTGAAGGAGTGAGGACCAGTTCCGAATTAGTTGTGGCCCCCATCTACATTCTGTGAAGGTAACTGGAAGGTTACATGAGCGAAACCGACACACAGTTACTGGATTGGCAAGTCATTAATCGCCGCGAGCGCAATTTGGCTGTTTACATTAACCGGATGAGAACTGAGGAATTGGCCTTCGGTGTTGTGAGTCAGCGACGCTTTCGGTTCCGGACAAGAAGTAAGTGTGGCCGCGACGGACACTGACTGAGCGGACGGCACGTGATGCGATGGCAGCTGATCTACGGAGTGAGCAGAACGGACGGAGCCGGCAGGTGCAAAGCCAATCAGCACCGCCGGCGTAGACCGACGACGTTCGCGAGTACCGGATGAACAGCCTGGAATTGGGTTGCGGTATATTGAACAAATCTCAGCTTTATTCCCGTCTACATGGTAGTAATCTAAACAGCTGAGAACGAACGCTGAGCGCCATGCAGTGAACTTAGACAAGTGGCTAGCAGATGGCTAGCCATTAAAATTGCGCCTAAGTAAAATAGTGACTCGTTTATGTACAACTTAAAATGGCCAATGGTTCCTTAATGACTGTTTTTTTGGTCACTGCCGTCTTTGTTTTAATTCTTGGAGGCTACTTCGACACGTTATTCCCAGCCTCATTCTTTCGGGTTTACACTAGCGTGAATGTAGCTGTGGGTGATGTAGCGCAGGCCACTCTTGGTCCCTTCAAAGAAGGGGTGTTGTGACTTCCCAGCCGCAGTGACGAGCGGATCCGGACCTGGATGCCGTCAATCGCTTCCTCGCACTTGACGGTGTAGTAATGTTACCTTTTGAGTTTATTCTTTTTCTTTTTATCGACGTCTTGTTCACGGAGCTGCTGCCTGAGTTCAGAACAAAGTCGCTCATATCCTCCCTACCTTTGTTGTTTTATAGAAGTCACGCGATTGTTGCTCTTTACTGCTCAAGCAAGCCACGATGAAGTTCCACCAGATGTAAGTTACAAAATCAACAATTTACCATCCATTTTCTTCTACATGCGCCGCTGACATCCGATTCGTTACAGATAAGCCATCATGCTCCGAGTTCGGCAGTTTAGCGAACTCATTCACCGTTGCTCAGGATACCATTTTAGTCAGAGTCGGTTTGCCTTCGACGGCATCTGTTTCCGGGTTTAGCTGTCATCTTGATTGCGAACATTACTAGGGTGTCCGCGCCTACAGATCATGAGTCGTTTGCGCCGGGCAACTCGTAGCTGCACCAACGCATCTTTTATCCTGTGTAAACCGTACGAGATGAAATCCAGTGCCAAACAGATGTGGCCCATCATTGAGTCGGGTGGACCCACGCTCTTTCCATACACATCACTGACGCAAGCTAAGGGAATACTAATGTACTAAATGTATATCCCCATATATGCGGACGGGACGCGACACACGCTGTTTCCTAGCTCTGTTCGACGCGAAATTTGCTGCCCGCATCGGTGAAGCAAGAGTGTACAAGCCTTACATAGATACCATGTTTCTCGACAGTGAACATTTTAACCTCTAACATTGAATGATGTTACCTTACTTGAGCTTCGCCCGACAGAGGCGAGGAAGCTCGAGGCCTGCAACGCGCACGTCAGCGCCGAGTACAGCAGCAGACTATCAAGTGAAAGAAGACGCAGAAAGATGCTTGCAGACAGGACCAGAATAAAGGTGGGTACGTACTTAATGAGAGTTAGTGACATCTTGTATTCCACCATCAGTCCTCTCGAGAGCTGTGGCGGAATTCAAAGTTGAACTTGGAGAATCCGCTGTGCGCTTGGGTTGCGGCACGCAACCTCTATTGAGACTTCGGTTCACTTGAGGTGGATCTCGGTCATTCCGATCGCAAGAACCGTATCTGAAATGTAAATAATTTGGTGTTGCTGCTCCCAGTGTTGGAAGGTGCAAAATCAAATTAGTGCCATGTAAGCGGAATCTTTAAGAAATCGGTTGGCGACGTTACCCTGCGGACGACATTAATGCATGTACCTAAGGACTAACCACTGCACGCTGCGGATATCGGCCTACTGACCGTGTTTGACCATGTGGAGTATTGATCATGCCTGGTGGTAGAACGGGATGAGTACTGTAAAGTTCGTCCTCAGGTGTTTGACATTCGGTTTTCTGGTGCTTCCCTGGACCGCAAGTTGAACGCGAATCGCCTCTATCGGCTGGTTCATGTGCTGCTCGCACTCACAAGCCGGCTGCACTCAGTTGGGTGACTCCCTTAAGTGAACTGTCAGGGGCATGGTAAGTGAACGCGAAGTAACTCGCCGAAAGGCTCATTAGTGTGGGTGCCTGTTGCCTTCCTGAACGGGGTCCTCGGAGTCATTGGTTAAATGCCCTGTTGGATATGGCGAAATAACGGTTACTGACAATTTGCTTTGTTCCCTCGTTTCGAACCATTAATTATCTCACATGATCATGTCGATTCTCCTCTCTTCTTGAAAGATTGTGGCTAATATTAAGATGTTGCGAGGCAGTCTCCACCGCACCTCTCTTGGTACACGGGTCCTAGCTGGCAAACGCAGCCGAACTGAACTTCATTCACGAGTGTCCCCTGGTGGTCCATGAATAAACAATTGATCCTTTACGGACTCTCCACACCCTTTACTCGATTCCTCTCATTGACTGTCATTTTGGCTTCGTTTTTGGTGCTTCGCAACTGTGTAATTTCTTTGTTTCAATCGCACCAGATTCACATATCATCCGGATCGCTTGACCCACCGTTTGTCCACTCTTAATTGCTAGGTGTATCTATCCTCAGCCGTTTTGACCGCATATTAGATTATGTTGGAAATTCGATGCTCAATATTTTCTCGTTACCAGACGGCGTGCTTTCTAATCGATCACAGTTCACCACATATAGAATCCAGCCTGATGGGTAGTGTTCGTTTTCACTTTCAAACCCATGCTACATGACACCCACTACTGGTTACTCATCGTCCTCCGTTCCATGAAATCTTTACACATCAGGTTATGGAACCTGTATTGCGCACTATCGCGGACAACTTCATCACTGAACGTGCATCGTCCGAGGCAATCGCAGTTGGCCTGAACGCAGTCCGCGAAATATGTGCCCGATGCCCTTACGCGATCTCACCAGATCTACTTTCTGATTTGATTGGTTACCGGACATACAAGAACAAAAATGTTGTCGCTGCAGCTCGTTCTCTCATACGCTTGTATCGTGGTGTAAGTGTAGTTATCTGGTACAAGGTCTTTTGTGTTTTCCACGTCAGTAGCAGAAACACCTCAGGATGCTTATCAATCATATCGGTATCTTATATTACTATTTCTGACATTACGCCCTCTGTGCTGAACACTGCAATCGCTGTACACTCTGGCCTCACACTTAACAGTTGTTTCATTTCGGATATTAACGACACCGTAGATATCCTTATCGTCTCACATCGTCGTTTGCTTCATCGGCACAGCCTGTGTGTACAAGGTCGCACTGATTTTTCTGTTCCATTCTGTTACGTTTAAAGTTATCTAGGCCGACTGTCGTCTATGTTAGCGCCCCGCTGACATATTAAAGCCTGATGCATAACTGTGTTCTTACTTTGATTCAAGAATGCAGCTATCTCGATTGTAGTGATCCCGTCGGTTTCTAAACAAGCAATTGTTCGGCTTACTGACGTACAGTTTACTGTTGATAAATACCAGTGTTTTGTTGAGAGATGGAAATTTCGATCAGTTAGCCCCTGCTAATGGCAGGTCTCTCTCGGCATTGCGTTCTTCGTCGACTCGTACATACAACTATCACATTCATTTAGGTACGATTGATAGTGGCAATCTCACCAGCCGGATGATCGTTCGAACTCAAGGCGAGCTGTAAGCAGCGGGATTTGTGAACCTAGCTAATCTTATCTTGAGGATGCTCTTTATGTGCAGCATCTAGTCGCTTGTAACTACCTTACCCAAATGGCATGTCCTCTGTTTATTTTAATCCCTTTACTTTTGCATGAGGGCTTTGCCACTCATTTCGTTTTGGCAAATTATCCCTGGGAAGTGTTTCGCCGTTCAATCCGCTGTTTGTGCTCTCCTAAAAACTACTCGAATTACCAACTCACTCTTTGAGTCCATTCTCTTATCTACCGGGTGCTTCAGTGTGCTTAACTGTCCACTTTCACAGGTCTGCTTTACTTCATGAGATTTTGCTTCCCTTGTCACTCTATCTTCTTGTTTCAGATTAATCCGACAGTTTTACCCCGAAAAGAGCGTGGTCGTCCCACAGAGGCACAGCTTGAGATTCTTTGTGATCCAGCTCTTGCCTCTAGTGGAATTTCCATAAATTACGGTCAGCCTTCGGCTGCGCGCTTTGTCCCTGGTTCCGAAGCACTGGTGCTGGCAAAAGCGATGGCCAAGAAGTCGAAAAAAGACCATCCAAAATTGACATCCAATAAACGTGAGGTTGTTGCCACTGATTTGGCGAAGAAACACGAATCCATGGACTCAATGGATGAGCACAGGATATGCTCGGAAAAAGACGGTGGTAAGCCTACAACTGTTCGGTATTATGGCTACATTCATTCGGCATTTTCCTTTTTAGGTAGTTTTCTTCCATACAGCACAGGCATTGTTTTTGCGCTAATGGGGTGCTCGTTTCTTCACGATATGCATTGCGGTCTGTTCCCTCAGCAGTTACCTGGATGATAACGGATTCATTAGTGGTCAGTCGTTACCCAGTCATCAGTAGCAAATGAAAATGCTTTACGATATCAAAGAGCCTGTGCTCATTATGCATTTTTTGGCCCAGTACCCCTCGATTTTTCTTTTCCTTTATGTTTCTCTTGAGTACTACATCACGACGGGCTGTGCCTTAACGGGGTGCGATGATTCACGTGTTCCCGAGATTCATTGAGCCACGCTGAGCGGTACGTTCCGATTGCTTTCATAGCCACTAATACCAGACAGATAAGTAGGGTGACCACGAAGGAACCGCACACAAAAATTTCGGACAGCAAAAAGCGCACCAACATGAAAGTGCACGCGAAGATTGCGCACACAGTATGTTGCGCACACGGAAGATTGCGGACACTAAAAGTGAACGAAAATTATCAACCTGATCACATTGTCACAAGTGCCCATATTCTCTATTTGTGATACTAACAAGATGCAAATTTGGACCTATGGCTTCAAAAGCAGTATATATATATATATATATATATATATATATATATATATATATATATATATATATATATTAAGTGAACAACTCGTTTCAGTGACGAGGATTGCACTTACAGTGCTCAAATGTGCAATCGTGTTTAGACAAGGAACTTTGTTGCTAATAGGGGAGTAGGGGAAAACAGTATGTGCGTGTTAGCGGGGTTATTGAGATCATTTTGTGGGGTTGAGAATTGGGGGCGGTGGTCAAACTAGTGATGTAGAGAGTGAATAAAGATATGAGGGAGCTGATGCAGTCTCTAATGCAATTAAACAAGTGGGTGTGCTGTCGATCGGGATCACCGGTATTGTTGGTCATAGAGGGAGGGGCAGATGCATGAAGGCTGGGGTGTTTTTAACTTAGTAGTCATTCATTCGTGTCATGTGTACATACTCTAAGAACAGTGAAAATAGATTGTTCGCTTCTATTGGATGTATCAATGATGGGAGGGGTTGTGGTACTACTCCCGCATCTAATAAAGTATGGTTGTCGTTTGGTGGTATACAGTGAGGGGTCACTCATGTTTGGGGTATGGCAATGTGCGCTGTGTCCCGATGTTCAGTAATCTTCAGGTAGTCATTTCCTTGTTTACGGTTGCAGCATTCTGAAGGCGATCAATGCTCAGTCTAGGTAATTTTGTACATGCTTTTGCAACACTGCGCAGTACGGTACTTACTTAGTGGTAGAACTCACGGGCGTCTTCAGCGTAAAAGTAATTGTCACAATTTGCTGCTTTTGAAGCCATAGGTCCTATACGCTTCTCTGCCGTGTATAGTAATGGATGCTGTACCCACGTACGCCGCGAATTTTTGAATCACTGGGTGGCGTATACTACCTTTTCTTCGGATTACTGTGTTATAATTGCTTTTTCTATAGGAATTGCACACCAATATTCTTCTTTTGACGTATTTTCTAATCGGTGCAAATTCGGTGGCTATTCTTTGGCTACTTCCGGAGATCTCATTGATTATCCCTACTCCAATCTCTGTCCGCCATCTTGGATTTGCTTTACCCCGTGATGCCGTCTCATGCTACTTGTGGTTCGTGTTCGAAAGTTGTGGGACATAAGGCTCATGCACTTCGGTGCTTCGGCTGCGATGTTTTTGTTCCATTTTTCGTGCATTGGCTTATCCGTTGACGTGTTTCGAAAATATCTCGACATCCGACATCGGTTTTTCTAAGTTATATGTGATAAATATCGTGTTGCAAGACATCAGAATACACAGCGACCGCTAAGGACTACGGGAGCAGTTCTCATCCAGACGAAAACAAACCGTTCACCACGTGGGGTCAAACGCCGTCGTAACAGTACCTTTGTCGCCTTGCCTTCTCTTGTCACTCCGCGATCTGCACCCCCACCAACGTCTCCGATCCCGACCGAGCCTCAGGTTCAATGCTCCCCACCGATGGAAGACTCAGACTCGGAACCTACGGAATGCTGCTTCACTGATCGGTCCGTGAATTTCTCAGAGCCTGTCTGTCAACCTCTGAACACCGAGGATCCATGGACCACACAAAAGCGCTTGGGGCCCTCTCACAAAACCATACATTGTACTGCAACGTGCTCATCAGCTACCGTTCCTGCTTCTCAAATTCACGCGACTTCATCACACACCAGTCCTTTGTTTGCTAACAATCCTTAATTTCCGTTACATGATCCATATGTTCAACAATCTGGCTGTGATTCCGGTTGCGCCGCGAACCAAGTAGTTCAACCTATAGCTCTCCTTCGTCCCCGATCCTCGTTCCGTCTGCGTTGCTTCAACGTTCGGACACTCATGCAGAATGGACAGCAAGCCGGTCTAGCGCACACCCTAGATTCCCTGGACATTGATGTCTGCTACCTTTCAGAAACCCGATTGCAAGATCCCAGCACTGCGATTACATTGACATCCCCTACTGACCACGAAGCCAGATATAACCTGCGTCTTTTTGGAGATCCAGAAAGCCTCAGCGGCTTTGGCTAGTGTAGGTATAGCACTAAGTGGCAAGGCCGAGGCAGCACTAAATAAATAGATAAATAAATAAATTTGTATATTTACCGACGGACGGTACACGGCCCCATAAGTGGGAGCGATCATTTACTGGACTGGTTCCTGATTAACAGCTGACCATGTGCAGTTCGGCTTGGGGGTTCATGTAGAATCAACAAGCACCACGAAGAGAGACGCAACTTGTTTGTGATCTCCGTGTACGCTCCAGGTGGCGGCTCGGTCAAGGACAATTCCTACCGGGATCTAGATCAGCTCTTGTTTAATGCTAAATGTCGGATGTCGTTGTCCTTGCTGGGGATTTCAATGCACGGGTTGGCCGCCTGTTACCATTCGAACACCACCTTGGTGGTCATCACGCGCTCGATGAGAACCGCTCTGATAACACAGAGAAGCTTCTCACCTTGCACGAAGACAATCATCTGTTTCTCTCGAGCACTAACTTCAGGCGTACGAAGAAGCGTTCCGCAACGTAGCGTCCCCCTCGCCAACGCAATCGCGGTCTCAGGTTGATCACGTTGCAATTAGCTTCAGATGGCACGGCAGCGTACTGGACTGCAGGTCCTTTTGGTCCACCTTCCTTGACACAGACCATGCGCTGGTCTGCGCGAAAATCTGCATGTGTTTTGGGGGCCCCGAAACACGAAGCACCGCAAGATTGATGAAAACAGATTAACTAATTCCTCTGTCCATGCGAGCTATTACTCTTCACTAGCATACGCACTCAATTGCAATCCACCGCAAGATGTGAAGCAACACTGGACTTGTATACAGAAAGCAGTAGCCATTTCCGGACAGTCAAACTGTGGCCTAGATCGATACCTCTTAAAAGCTTGGATCTCTGTCCGTTCTCTGGAGCTGTTTGAACGCCACAAAGCTATCTCCGCGGAATCAGATTGCAACGAGCGGCGCCGTTCTGCCAACCGGCTGCTCAAGCAAAGCCTACGCAAGGATCGCGAGGCATGGTGGTCTGAGTGTGCTTTAGAGAAGAAGACAGCTGCCCTCTTTGGTAACACGCAAGCTTTTCCAACTCATTCGGTCCACTGGCCTCAGGAAGTCTGGTGTCATTAAGATCATTTGCGAGATGGATAAGTCTCCGATCACCAACCAACAGAGGCGTGTGGACCTCTGGGCCGAGAGCTTTCCCTCGCAGTTCAACTGGCCTCCACCATCCATCAGTACATATTAATCCCACTGAATCCACCTAGCGAAGCGAAAGTCTGCCTCGAGATGTGACGCTTGAAACGGTTCAAGACTGCTAGCTCAGACGGACTTCCTCCGGAGCTAAATAGCTCCGGCGGTGTGGCAATCATTAACTAGTTGACCCCGCTGTTCGCAGAAATCTTACATGAAGTGAAAGTGCCTTCCTCTTGGGGCGAATCAGTTGTTATCCCGATTTTCAAGAAAGGCGGTGGCACTTCTTGTGTAAATCATCGTGGGATTAGTCTTATTTCGGTTGCCTCCACGCTATTGCCACCGATACTGCTCCGTAGACCATCCCCAATACGTGAATTATCCTACCGTGAAGAACAAGCTCGTTTATGTCCCGGCCGCGGATGCGTGGATCAAATCTTCACGCTCCGTCAGCTCCTCGAACATTGCCACATTTATCACAGACCCACTATCGTTGCATTCTTAGATACACGTGCCGCATTTGACTCCGTTAATCGACCTGCTTTATGGCGTTGCTTGCTAAAGAACGGGGTGCCAGGAAAATACACCACCATCTTACGAGCACTTTACCTTCATACATCCGGCAGAGTGAGGGTCTATGGCAAGCTTTCCTCGCAATTCGCTGTCAATAGCGGTGTGCGACAGGACTGCCCTATGTCCCTATTCTTCTTCAACTTCGCAATCGAAGACGTTCTGTCGAGTGCTCTAGAAGGTTTCCAACATTTTGGCCTAGAGTTTCTACCGGGTGAGCGCGCGACCGACTTAGCTTATGCTGATGATATCGCCTTACTTGGTGACGATTCTCAGGGTATGCAGCTCATTCTGAATCGTTTGGCGGTCGTAGCATCCATATATGGCATGAGCTTCGCCCCATCGAAGTGTAAGGTACTGGTAAAGGATTGGCTTTCACCTGCTCCCGTGCTCGCTCTCCAAGGTGCACAACTTGAACAGGTAGATAGTTTCGTCTATCTTGGGAGCTGTGTTTCTGCTGACGGTACTAACAACAAAGAAGTTTCTCTTCGTATCGCTCGATCAGCATTTGTCAATCTGAGGCACTTGTGGCGTCGTCGCGACGTCTCATTCTCACTAAGGGGCTGCGTTTACATCGCGTCTGTTCGCTCAGTATTGTTGTATGGGTGCGAGTCTTGGCCGATTCGCGTG